ATATAAGATGTAGCGCTGTAGAGGAGTGGAGGAAATCAGTTCGATAGACAGAAAAGACTGATGGAAAGGTGTTCTACTATTCTTATAGTGCAGGAAAAGAGAAGCTAGAACCGTATGGGCGAGATGTTGGGCATACGTCACAACAGTTCCCTTAGAAGCATTATAAAAGGAAAGAAACAGAGGAAGACGAGACGAAGTTATTTATATCAGTCGCGTCAGGAAATTAAAATAAGGGCGTTAAAACAAAGATGGTTAGCAATTACTCCACCAACAAGAACCAATCGCTTAAATAATAAGAAGAAGAATCAATATTTGAAACGCACATTTAACATTCAAGCGTTCTGAATATTCTCCATTTAGCAAATTTCATACTCAAATATAAATATTACATGCATATTCGCAGTTTGCAAAGCTCACACCTCGAGGCGTTTGAGATTCGATATATTTGCAGAAAGCAATGTTTGTTTATTCCTCGGTTAAACACACGGAACAAATGAGTTTGTCTCGTGTATACTATACAAAGAACGACATAAACTTGAACTTTGACATAATTATATCTAAATAAATAAATAAAATGAATAACGCGCACACTCAACATAGCCCCGCACTAGGTAAACCCTGTGTCGCGGGTGCCATGGACACACATATAGACAACCACAAATTACACCCAAACTCACGAGAGAAATAATTGTAGGCCATACAAACATTTCTCCCGGCCCGGGAATCGAACCTGGGACCTCTGCGTGGCAGTCCGGCATGGTAACCGTTCGGCCACGGAGGCAGTCAAAATCTATATTGTCTTTAGGCCCTAATTTACTACTGCTTTATTATTACTACCTGAGATCCTTTATATGAAATCCTTTTAACATGTTGCGTTCAGTACATAAAATCAAATAACTTTGGAAATGAATTTTTTTTCACGGTAGAAGACTCACGATTTGTCTTTTACAAACCCCAGGGTCACGGCTACCATGGGATTCGTAAGAAGCTCAAAAGGCAAAAAACACAAATATACGCGAATTACATCAGATTGGGGGCGTCCTTAAAAAAGGACAGATTTTTTTATAATACAAGTGACGGAACGAACAAGGCGTGGGTCTGATGGTAAGCGACACGCCTGTCCATAACAGTTGCAGAGCAACTCAAAGAACACTGCCACTGCGCCCTTCACCCTGACACATAAGTTGATAAGTCCCATGTGCCTGTAATTTCACTCACATTACTGCTTGGCGGCAGACATAGGTGAGGTGGCAGTACTTCTCTGGACGAACCTTTTCACAAGGAGCTCTACTGCTGTTAAGGTTAAAAGTACTTGATAGGAGTGGAGGAGGTGAAGGAGGTTTGTTAAGAGCGTAGCTGGTGGAGCTGCAGTCTTTGCCTACCCCAGTGGAACACAGGTGTGATGGTATATGTACCTATGCATGTACAACTGAAAAAGTTTCATGATTAGATACAGACCAATAAACTAGTTAATGTATATATGTTATGTAGTGTACACTATGGCATACACAGCACAACAACAAATATGTATTCCACTACATTCAGGAGTCATTTTATATTGGTTGTATTGTGTTGAAAGTGTGGCAGAAAGCAACCTTGCTTGCTTACTTGTTTTTGAAAGATTAATTGGTAGAGTTTAAGAACTCGATATGGTAGAGTTTTGTTGTTCAATGAACAAGAACAATCTGATGAGAAAGTTGATAAAGCAATTAATGTATTTGTTACTTTATACATTTTGTAGTCTTATGTTCTACAAATAAATCTAAATTTAAATCTACACAATTCGTTATCGTTTTAAGAACGCGTATTTACACAGGAAAGTGCAAACGACGATCTATCGATATTATCGAATATATACTCGATGATCGATATAAACTGAAACAACGCCAATGTGTCAATGATATTAAAGTGCCACCAACTTATTTATGATATGGCAAAAATGAAACCAACGCTACCATTGTAAAACATAAAATGACCTGTCAGGCATTACGGTTCTTGACAACATGGCATGGATATGGCAACTCTACACATATCACTGATAAATTGGTGGCTATAATATCAATCAAATACCATACATCGTTATCAAACTCATACGGTATTGACGGTGATAGCGAAGTACACAGCAGCAACTGGTTTTACGATAATAATGCTTTAAATAAAAAAAAATTGTTTGAACAATAAATCGTTAGGAATTGAAGATTTTATTTAAAAAAATGTTTTTCCTTAGGACGAGGAAATAAACTTCTTCTTCTTCTTCTTTATTCCGAGCATATCGACTCAGACGCTTATATTTTTAAGGACCAGTACTTAGCGACTGACACAGCATTGTCAGTGGCATTGTACAGGTCCTCGCGTGTGCAGGGAGACGCAGAGCACGACAAAAGAAATACACTGTATCAAATTTTTTGTTGTATCGGGAAGAACAGGTGAGCTTTTCAATTGGACGTAGTTGAACAAAAATAATCCAATCCACATCCACTCACTTACGAGATAAATGGCAGTTTCAAGTTTAAAAGTGTTTCTTACGCTTGCTTTATTTTCAAAACTTATAATCTCTTGAACTCCAGAAATTTACTTACGTTTATATGTTGGATTTTTTTTTTGCTGATCTAAGAGGTTAAACTTTAGGAACCGTTTGGTACATGTAACTCATTTTTTGATAATTTTGTGGATTGGATCCTTTTTGCTTAACTACGTCCAATTGAGAAGCCGAAATTTCGAAGCCCTGTGGCGGCATGCACCAATGATTTTCATTTCTAAGTTCCTACCTATACTTGTGGATATTTACTAGCATTAACTGGTTCGCTGATGATGAAAGAAAAACATCTCGATGAAACATACACGTCTAAGACTCAATTTATATTTCGGCGGAACGGAATGTTATTGTCCATGGTGAAAAGTACAAACTAGATACGAGCCAAAAATTTCGCAAAATTCTCGCGCATGCTCGAGAATGCTCGCGCATTCGCGCGGATTCCGCAACTGCCGTCGGCGACGCTTGGCGAATCGGCGGGAAATGGCGTGAAAGCTGGCGGAGTGTGACGTCAAATGTCGACGAAATACTACAGCCTCAAGGCGCGGTCGCTGGAATGCTCGAGCATTCGCGTGAATGCCCGAGCGAGGCGAAATTAACACTTCCATTCCATTCCGTTACACCGCAATGTAAATTGTTCTTTAGGCTTACAACATTTCAAAAAGGATTAAGACTAAACGTATAGTGGTTTGACGATGGGAAGAATGAGTCCATTATTACAGTTTCCATTTCCATCACTTGTCAGCTTCTAGATCCTTCTTTGCATGGATTATTCACATCGTTGAATCACACGAAAGTGTCAAAAGTTGCACTAAAATCTCACAGTTTTAAATCTATTGTATATTGTAACGAAACAATGTTCACTTTCAATAGACCGTATGTGTCATTGGAGGGAAAGTTAAGAAATGTGCGACGGCTAATGAAAGTCAGATTTATACTGACAATGGATATTAAGACGGGGAATTGAGTTGTACTTCAATCGGAGAAAAGAACAAAAAGCTATTAGAGAATGTAATAAAAGCACCCAATGAAGCATTCTTAAGTTTCTTAAGCATGTTTTTTCTAAGCTAAACTTCATTAGTGCTTTCTAAATAAATTATAATGATTTAATTATAGAAACGGTGTGGTGTTTGAACAAGTATTTCCTCACGAGTTGTTAATTTTGTGTATGTTTTTTCACTATAAATAAATAAATATTAGACAATATCGTATGTTACTCTGATCCCAAATTAAGTCACGAAATAGGAAACTCAACTAACTAACTCAACTTATTTAACCGTCAATAAAACACTTAATCAAAACTCTTACTACCTAGCTAAACATGCACACAAAATCTTGGTGGTACTATTTGTTGGCTCAGACAAAACGGCTTGAAATTACCCAACAGCATATTTAATAGTGGCAGTAGAGCTCCTTGTAAACGAGTTCATCCAGGGAAGTACGCTTACGTATTTCTGCCGCCAAGCAGTAATATGAGCATTACAACGCTTCGGTTTTCGAGGGTAAGGGTGTCATCTCGTCTGGCACATAATTTTTATATGAATTCTCAAATTAGAATATACAAGGTGAGCCTGAAATGTCTATAAGATTTTTAGATATTGATAAAATATTTATACTTATTCAAAGCAAATTTATAAAAGAGATCTCCATATTAAAATTGTTCGTAATGATAGGTAGAATCACTCAATAAAAGTCTCGCAGATCTTTCGCGGTCAGTCTGTATATAAAAATACATATACATATATATATATATATATATATATATGTATATATATATATATATATGTATATAAAACAAATACACATGTATACATAGTATAGGATTACACAAATAAGCGATTAAATTATATTACTTTTTTAAATTATAGATTCGAATTTAGCACATCCACATAATTACAATGTTACATGAAACAACAAGGTCGTTCATTCGATTGTGGAATAATTTGGAGATAGTGATGTTGGTATCAATACGATCAACTTTATCACTATTACTTTGTGGATTACGACACTGTATTGTATAAACAAACTTTAACAAGCAATGGAATCCCTGTCAGACGGTGACGCATATTTCCTAAAAATCAAATATGATGAAGTACAATTGTTCTCAAGTAACACCAAAGTTGGTATCAATATTTATAAGAAGGTAACTTTAAATCTCTTGATCTCGTAAGAACCAGGTGTTAAACCTGAACTGGTAGCTATGGGCGATGTTGCAATACAATCACGATCGACCTTGTTTGTATTCTATCTCTCTCTTGCTTTCAAGACTAAAGTATTGGAAATTATACTTGTGCTGCTTATATAAAAAAGTGAAGGTATTAATCAGGTGTAAAGGGGATGTTGAAAAGCTATGTGGAACTGATTTTTTTTTAAAAGGGACTATGGAAACGAAGGGCCATATACCGAGCATGCGTAGTAGAGTGCGACTGAGAGGGCCGTCAGTGTTCACCGGCCGTCAGTTGTTGCCCGGTCTCCACGCCGCGCGACGCGTTTCTAACTAACGTTCCGCAGTTCACGAACTACACATATCAAATTTCACGTGAAAATTTGATATCGTCGTCGGTTTTGTGCTAACAGTGTGTGAAAGTTCGCGCATTTATTGGTAAAGGTGACAATACTTTACTAAGTTACTTGTTAAATTGTGTTTTTTGAAAATTATTTGCGATGTTGTGTTTTGTTCCGTTTATACCAGTGATTTTTCATCTGTTTTGTTTTTAGTAGTACGTATGTTTTTCTTTATTTCGTAGTTCCCATTGCACTATTTGTACCAATAGTGTTAATATTTTTATTATTAGGGTCTATTTTTTTTTGCTTTGTAATTTAGTTCTTATAATTATGTTATCATCACTAGAGTTGCCTTATCGTTACTGATAATTCTTATCTACAATGGATTGTTGTTTATGTATTGGAATTGCACCATTTTAACAACGATGCTACCATTTCACCAGTTTTAAAGAATGTTACATTGTATTAACATAATTTTCGTGTCAAATTTTGAAAGTAACGCTTATTTAACTGTCAGTCATCTTCAAATTTTATATGTTCAAGTTCGTCGTGCCTTAGGCATCCATCTGATTGAATAACCTGCCCAATTTTAGGTATGTTGTCTTCGAACTTGGTTATTAAATATGAGACGTGTTATTATTTTATATTTACCAGTTCTTTAACTATACATTATGAACTCTATTAACCTCAAAGTAATATATTGATCCACTTGCAACAAGCAGTAGGCGTTTAAGATCATTTCATTGTGAATCACCGACTGTATGAAATGCGAAAGACAAAGAAGGGATTTGAATATAAGGCGAGGGGGCCCTTGAAATTGATCGCTGGTACTCCCCAGCCTCTGGTTAACCGTACCCTTGAATGGAGCGTACGTTAATACTCTACAAATCTGTTTTGTGTCCCGGCTTCCCAAAATTTACATATTCAAGGAAATTTTATCATTTTTCGAAATTGCTACTAATGATGTAATTAGTAATATTCATAACATCCAAACTAAATTGACTTTTATTGACATTAAGGTTGATATTCTCACAAGTATCTTTAAAAACAGGTTGCTTTAGGCCGTTACGAACGAAACGCGTTGCACGTGCTTTTAACATGGTATCAGCAATTTTAGCTGACCATTGAAGCTGTAATTTGGTTCCATAATGGTTTAAGACCCTTTTTTATTTGGGGACCATTGTTGTGCCAATAGGGTGCAGGGTCATTGACATTGGCCTTCCCCTTTTATGTTATGGATTTGCAACGATATTTTTCATCGAATGTCGGATTAGCCATACATCATTTCTAATCACATTCACTTATTATTACGCCATAGAATTGTCTCTGTAATATCTGGAATTAACGATTTCAAACGTCTCTATGCTCTTTTACCATTATTAATTTATTTAAATTGTTTTGGTTATATATGTAAACTATAATATAGACTGTTATGTAATCCAGCTCATTTTATGAACAAATTTAATAAGAATGTAACAAAATGTTTTTTAGTAATACCGATATAGGTACCGGTAGTTTTCAATTTTGTTACAAATCGTTTTAAGTGTCTATTAGTAAAACAAGTCATTTGTTTGAGTACATTTAGCTGCATAAATTGATGTGTAATTTGAAATGGTTTTCGAAGTTCACTTAAAACTTACTTAGCTTACATTTCTATAAAAAACTTGAATTTACAGTAAATGGTGTAGGTAATACAGTGTAACAGTATTGCTTTGTAGCCATTTCCGCTGTTTCACTGCAAAACAAGCAATTGTAGTCTTTGTTGCTTTCATTGCCTGTTTTGTTAATTACCTTTGTTTTAGTAGGAAAACTAAAATCTCATGAGATCTTCTAACTTCATCGCTTAGAAGGGATTTATTATCTCTGCCAAACTTGCTAATAATCCATGTGGATAAAATTGACTATGTATATGATGAGACGAAACGGTATATTATAATGTTTTTTTTAAATTACGTATGTGATTTGAAACGTTAAAATGCTACCTACATTATTCTCCTACTAATGGAGATTGACCGAAACAATGCGGGCATGCTAGCTATAGGTACCGTTAGAGAGCGGCGTGCGAGTCAGATATTTGAGTTGCATTAGTGAGGGCAATAATCTCCGATAAGTTACTTGCTGTGTTACCGATTGCATAAGCGGCCTCCATTTTGCACGTGTACGTCAATAGTTTCGCAACTCATTCTAGCTGAGTTTACTTCCCGCTAAATTCCTGTTCACTGCAATACAAATCCTTAAATTCTATATTTCCATAAGTTCTGTTTATTATGAGGAACTTTGAGGCCAGTAACTCCCGTTGACATTGAAAATTCGTAATTCTTATAAAACCTTCACTGTATATATTCGCACGGTGTATACTTAATCTTTGTTTATATCGACCAAGGTTGGTATGTTATCTTCTAATGTTTCTGAGTTGGATTCCGTGTGTTGTATATATAGTAGTATCATCAGCAACCAACTCAGGTCGATCCCAAGGGGCGTTGCACTACCTAGCGCCGCGAAGGAATGTGCCCGATCGTGGTTACGAAATGCCGTGACTCCGCAATCGTGTCTCTCCAATCCGATACGTTAATTATAGCGCTTGTCGAAATATTTGTTTTTATTTGTTATTTTACCAAAAATTTAATCATCGTTTCACTGCATTCTAAGCTTACCATGATTTTATTGAAGTGCTCTAACAAGATCCCTAATTGTGCCTTTAGCTCCGTTACGACTTCTCTTCATTACTTTTTAATTACCTTTGTATGTGGCAGAACATTCGCTAATGTGCACGGTTAAGGACGATCCGGAAAGCACAATGGCCACCATTGTTTCTAACAGCTCCTTATATAGCGCGTAGCGGTCCGACTTCATAGGCCGGGCGTATGCTCGCGTTCCATTCGTAAATTCTTAGAATGTCTGCTGAATTCAATTAGTCATCTATGGTGATCTTTAATATTAATTAAGTTCACTTGAAACGATCCCTTTGTGAACCCTCTTGCAACTTTTATAAGCAATAGAATTTGCACTTTTTCCTTCTTTTCATCCAAGAATTCATTAATCAAAAACTCAAAGGCGGTTAAGTCTAGTCTTATCTCTTTTACCCTCACTTGAGAGTGATGGAAGCGATTCGTCATGTTCCACTCTTAGTGACCTACTTGCATGAGGACCCTGCTTTCAATCTCACAAGTTTTTTCACGAAATGCGTGCCGCAAAGTGCTATTAGTGAAGAAAGTGCGTCCCCTACGAAGAAATCAATCGGTGTCATGCTGCGTTACACATTTATATTGTTTTATCCTCTTTGATCTCTACACAGGTTAGGGGTGGTCTCGTAAAAATTTGTTTTACTTTTTTTATGATAATTTTACGAACTTCAACATTTGGTTCGATTATTTCACAATAACTATAAGCGTAACGTAGCGTAGCTATTCCTATTTGTCTGTAAAATGTTGATTTTAGAAAAAGACATGAGAATGACAGATATCCTTGGAGGATTATTTATATGCTGATCTTACGAACACCTAAAACTTTATTGTCGTCACCCAATATCGTCACGCGATATTAAAGTAATTAATTATTTTTGTAGTATCTTTAGAGTTGACATCAGTACAATGGAAACACTGCAATGCAAGAGCAGTACACACATTATAAATATTTATAAGCGCCATGCGCCAAAAGCGACCATTAAAAATCTCTTTTGTACAACCCAATATAAACTCTTTTTACGTCAACTTTTTCTGCAGTGATTAATGACACCAGAGCTTAGATGTGATGTTTTGAACGCTCTTTAAAAAACGCTTTTGCACTTCACTAATTGGAATTGTGAATTTTAAGTTTAGCTGAAAAAGATTGAATTTAGTAATAATTTCTCAACAGTGATTGATGAATGTTAGTAATTTTTTGGCACCTTTTATTTTAAAATCAAATTGGTAAAATGTTGCACAACACTTTTAATATTACATATCATCGATGAAGCAATTGAAGTGGCTATTGGTAAATAACAGCTATTCTACTCGTTTATGTGCGAGTATACTGAAGAGGATGTAAGTAGACTGTCACGGGTCATTGTTTGAATAAAAATTGGGCCTTCTTGTATGAACGGGGTGGATCCCATTCCTTTTTGTATATATTTTTGCATTCTAGAGCGATACTATCTATAGTTCCAAAGTAGTACAATAAAATCAGACATAAGACATAAGATCACAATGTTTGTACACTAAAAGCAAGTTGTTACCGTAACTAATGTTTGATTTACAGTAACAAACTGTAAAATAAAATATACATCATAATAAATGTTAACGTCACACTAATATAGCAAATTTTAACGAATTTAGACAGTGTCAGCGAAAAACCAATTGTACAAATCTATGTCTGAAAATTACATATTTTGCTCGTTTTACGTGATATCGTTCAATTATACAATTTACTCTAAACTAATACCGCACATTCACATTTGTCATTAATCGTAATGAAACGTCACCCGCATGCTTCATGCTTCCATCAATTACAGGCAAATTGTCGTCCATTTCGCTTTGTGCTTCGTGCTCACAAATGGCATTGCTTTTTGTAAAATCTACACCTATTTTCATTTAAGATTTTCTATTGTAATCTTTGTAGCTTATATACACATTTCCAATATTTTCCCGTTAAATCCTATTCTCTCTTCCTTTAATTTTGTATTGGCTTTAAACAAGCGTTCTTAAACGCTTCAATTTGTCACCACAAACACTATATGTAATGATGTCCATTCCTTACGCCCACGAATCACACATACACGAACGAACCCAGACGTACATTACTCATCCCAATTTCCATCTGCAAATTTTAGCAAAACCTCTAATGAGATTCAGGCTATTGCTTCGGAATACTAAGTAATACCCATATAGAACACAAACATGAACGTGCAGTTAAAATGGCAGTAACATGGGCTAACATATACAATTTATACATTAGCTTTGAATTTCTCCATGTGCATGTTATGTTGGTTGCTGTATCTCATCGTTCCCTGGTATCATTAAGGTAACGATTTCAGGCCCGCATAGTTTGCTTATGTCAACTTTGTCTGTTTGCGCAGCCTGAGGTGCATTTCAATATCATTTACCATCAATGTACGTCTTGATACTTTATTCTTCTCTAAATGCATTATTATTGGTTTGTTAACATTTTCAAAACAATCTTGAGTTCATGAAGTCATATCCTCTATAAATTTCTGCCGTCTTTGCATGCACCCAAGAAC